ATGTTTGATGTGGTGTACTGTCGTCTACGTTTTAAGAACGATCATTATAATGTTGAACCTGCAACTTTCTGCATGTCATCGTTTAGATGCTTGGCATAGCATCAGAATGGTTTTGTCAGTCCAAAAACTGGCAAGCCAGTTTTCATTCATTGAATGCCATTTCAGGGCAGGCCAACCTCTTTAAATTCATGGCACTGATCATTGGTCAACAATATGATATGTGAACTGGGAATGTCACATCATTAGACGTTAGGTGTGGATTGAGCAGCATTAGATATTTTTGGTAGTAGTCCGAAAAACTACCCTGGCGATTATTATATGCATATGCAAGATTATTTCAATTTTTGTACACGTATGCAGATTTTATGCTTACACGTCCAGTTGCGTAATATAATTATTTTCAAACATTTACGTCATGTGCGATTTCTCATCGCAAACACCAAGATGCTAGGGCATGGCATGGAAGCATTGGTCTCTGAATATTCGGCACACGTTGTTTTGGCAAGAGCAGTTGTCACTGTCAACGCTTTGAATCGCTGTGACTGAAACTTGGTGATCCACATCAACATTTGATTTAATCCGTCCTGTTTTGATATTAATGGGACCTCTCTCTGAGTGAAAATCGATGCCGTTGTCAGACATACGAAAGTTAAAGATTTCACTACGGTTCCATCGGGCTATGCGAGGTCACAAAGTCCGCGCGCAGTCCTTCGGTGGTCAGTTTGATTCTGTATCATTGGCAGATGGTCATTTGTATCAATTACTTGATATCATCCCAACTATTATCTCTCTGAAGAGCCATCTTTTTGCAGTGCGTTCATAGTGAATTAATCATCGACATATGATGAATGGAGGCAAAATGAGGATTGAAACAGATGATTGCAAAGTGCAGAAATTTCAACTCTTCGATAACTGACTAACCACTTAACTTATTACTATAGCGTAGTGAAACCGCACTGTTCTCAGCTTAATATTGAGCGATAAATGAGGGTCATTAGTGATACTGAACGTGAAATACTGATACCTAACTATCATTTGTATCCTTTCGGATTCGCAACTATTTGACCGCGCCCTTACCCAGTGACCTCTCGTTATCAACACAGAATAATCACTGGATCACATGGACCAGTCGGTAGTCAGCGACGAATATTTGACGTTATCATAACGCCTGAAGTTTTGACACCCGCTGGCAGGGCTGACGACATTCTGTGGAATTCCTTTTGGTCTCTTTTATCGAAGTTGTCTCTTGTGTTGTTTGACAAGCCAAGGTCTAACTGCATGGCAGCGGTGACGATGCTGGTCTTGTTTCTTCAGAGTAGCTTTCTCCTCGAAATAAGACTGTTATTGGGATTTGTGAATTTTTCTCTTAGGATCGAACTTGTGGAACTCGAACCCCGCCACACCCTGGTGATCTCACCGCTGCCTGTTCGCGACTGCTTCTTTGTCGCAGCTACTTCCATATGCAGAGATCGTTGCCCTATCCGCATCTGGTAAATGTGCCAGATATGCAGCGGCTTATCGCGCTGGCATTGGAATCAAACAAATTTCAGTTTTGGAAATTGCTACTCTTACAAAGGTTATGTACTGTGCTGAGAGAACGCGTGTCATTGATTTGCAAGATTATGCGATTAGATATTTGTCTATGATGGGATTCTGAAAATTTCGCAGGTTCATACTCTGGATGACGTTAATCCGCGCTGATTTAAGGCATTCGTATAATAATTAAGCGAACGTGCAAACTTTGAAACAGAACTGTGACAAAAGTTTCATGATGTGATCACAGGGCTATCGATCGATGTGTAAATTGAATTATCAAATGATACATTCACAGACTACCTGCCAAGTGATCATACTTCCTACCGAATGATTTAACGCTGAATTTGTAACCTTGCGCACCTACCACGATGGAATCATAAAATGAATAGAAACTTTTGCACTGTACTTACATAGATCTTGCCCTTGATATACAGCATTAGAGTTTAAATCATGTAGCTTATGTAAGTGACCATCGTCCATTTATAGAAACTAAAATCTTCACTATAGCTTGTACTCTTTTTTAGGTACAGACAATCCAAAATGGGAACTGAAACTATTGAAAATCGCATTAAAAACCGGTAATGACTCGATAAAGGTACGAATGAGTTTTTCGTGGTTGCATTTATGCTGTCTCATCGAGCGTCATTTTTAGTTTCTTTCCGTTTCTGGCCATCAGCTGGACCAACCGTATCGTTCTATCTTTTCTTCCTCAGACTCGGAATACTTAGCTCGCGCTGGCTGGCTGCCGTGCGGTTCAGCGTGAGCGTTTTCCTTCTTCACTTACGTTTGCAAACTTTTACCTTAGTCTGCTGTAGAATATGGGCACACGTCATGTCCCGTAGTCAAAAGAAAACCTCTCTTCTTTACATCCCAGTATCGTTGTTTCTTCCACGCTTGGAAGCAGTCGCCATGCTGTCTCGCATGACCATACTGTACACAGAGGAAAGCAATCACTGGATATACGTATGTCACTTTTAATTATGTTATGCTTCATGCCTATACTTAGTTAGGACAAAATTTCACGCAGATATGTATGCCACGAAATCGTTCTTGATTGCTCACCAGTCAATCTTTAGCGAGTTAGCTGAGAGCTTTGAGGAAACAGGAATTTTTTTCCAAGCGATCTTTGAAATTACGAAGATTTTCCCAATTTTTCACTCTGAAAATTATGCATAAAAGACGTGGTACAGAATAAAATTCCATTTTTAAAATTATTCTCTTCGAAATCAACCTAGCAGGTTGGGCCTAAAATATCCTCTCTATTTTTTATTGTCCAGTGGAAAAGAAACTTCTGTATGATTGCTGTTGCATATGCCAAGCTGATAAGACTTTTTTAATAGGAATAATCGATTTTACTATAGGACAGAATGGACTGAGTAGTATTTCACTAATATCTTACGTTTTTTAATAGGTTCATGACTGCCTGTACTTTCTGGAGAACAGGGGCGATGACATCATACGTTTCATATGGTGTTCTGGCAGATCCGGCTTCCGGCATCTCTACTACGTGG